GAGGTGTAACAATTGTAGTTATCTTCCCCTCACCTCTAGAAAGCCAGCGTTACAACTAAAAGAAGACCAAACTCCCACACCTCCAAATCAAATATCCTCTGAAAGTCAGGGTAACAAAATGGGCGAGGTAGAAAACAAAATTCTAGAACTAGAAAATTCAGAAGATCCCGATTTAGAAACTTTTCTGGCACTTGCAGCAGAAGTTGGAAACGCACTTCTAGCACAAAATAGCAAACTAAGAGAAGAAGTACTCAACCTGACCCTACAAAACTCGAGTCTGGTTTTAGAAACTAACAAACATACAAACCATCAACATCATGAACTACCACGCTCAAATTGAACAACTAGAAGATGAGAAAAGCACTATTCTAATTAGAAACAACAACCTAATCAAAACAATAACTGAACTAGAACACCAATTGGAAAAGGAAGTAAGCCTAAAAAAACACTCTAACAAAAACATTTGAAGATTATGACAAAGATAGGGAAGAAACATTTAATAGCTTCAACACAAAAATAAAAGACATGGAGAATGAAATTAAATGCCTTAGGCAAAAAAATACATGTAGCAGAATAAACACCAGAGAAGAGTCTACAAAATCATTCAGAGAGACAAGCACACAGACAACCAATACAGAGGCGAAGGATCTCACAAACAAAATAACAGTTTCAGACAACAAAAAACCAGAAGCATCAAACACAGAAACACTAATTCTACTTGAACTAAAGGCTCTAAAAGAAAAACAGAATAATATGAAGTCAAAAATGAAGAAATTAGAAGATAAAATAACATTAGAAGATTCCCAGCACCTAATAACTGAGAAAAAGGAGACTCCTTGCAAGCCAATTAACACACCAAGACGAGTTTCATATAATAAAAACAAATTGGCAACTACAGATAGTGTCACGGTGCGCGGCGCTTCGCTGGAGCATGCGCACTGAGAGCTTTTCCCCCACTACGCCTCGATGTACGGTACAGTCACGTTCAAATACTGAAGTTGTGAACTAGCATCAGCTGTCAAATTAGTTTGTATGTTTACGTTTTTGTATTTTTCTGTCTCTCTCGCACTGCCTCCCCTACATGCCAAGCACGGTGAAACGGTCTGTACTAAGAAAACCCATTTCAGTGTTTCCTTGCAAATAGCAAAAAGCAAGTTGAGGAAAGAAGCACCAGAACACCAAAGTCAACCACAACAAACACAAAATCAAAATATTAAAAAACCCAAGGCCGTCAAAGTCCCGAAAGGAGTTTGCTCTACTTTCAAGGGCACTATATCTCCCCCAAACAAATCAACTAAACCAAAGAACACAGGGAAAACCCCGATCACCGCCAAGCTTCTTAAGCCGGGAGAGACCATTGAAGACATCTTTTGGAAAAATATAGACCTATATAAAAAGAATATTCTGTCACACACCAAGCGACTAAACATGACCGAGATGGACTGCCTCTCTTCTCAAGGAGAACAGAAACATGAGCAGCTGCAAGAACCCAATTCAAGTCAACAATCCAATCACTCTACAGTGTCCCATACCCCTTTTTTAGAAACAAACAGCCTGAAAAAAAGCAAAAGAAAAATCTACAAATCTCCAAATAATTCTTGTGTAGCAATAATGCACCAAAATATTAGAGGACTTGCTACAAAGACGAACAGACTACACCATATTCTCAATGACACAAAACCAAGCATTCTAGTCTTGACTGAACACGGACTGAAAAAAACAGAACTAGAAGCTACAAAAATTCCCGGCTACTCTTTAATTACCCACTTTAGTAGAGAAGAACATAAACTTGGAGGTGTTGCAATATATTCCAAGGAATCCCTTGCTGATACAGTATCAGCTATTAACATATCAAACACATGCCAGGAGTTAATTTTCGAAGCAGCAATGATTCGCATGCAGACAACAAAGAAAAAGGATATCTACATTCTGGGAATCTATAGACCACCAATCGAAAATGCAAGAATTGCCCTTGATCTCCTATCAGACACGCTAGAACTACAAGAAGTACACAAGAAAAACCTCATACTCATCGGTGACATAAATATCGACAGGCTCACCCAAGATTCCAAAAACACCATGCTGGAAGAAGAGTTAACCACACAAAACATCTGGAGATTTCCTTTAGAGGCCACCAGAATAACCCATGACACAGCCACTTCAATAGACTGTATATGCTCAAACATACCATATGCGTATATTACTGGACAAGTTGTGCATATTGGTCTATCTGACCACGCTGCGCAGCTGTGCCTGCTGAAAACACACCAAGAAGACACTTCCCAAAGATTTGTAATGAAAAGAAACCTAAACAACACAAACCTAAACAAACTGAAGGCTCACCTCCATCTACAAAATTGGGAACATGTTTACTCTTCACCCGATCTTGAAACCTCCTACAACAAATTTTATAATATTCTTCAAACAGCACTGGATTATACATGCCCATTAAAGAAAACTAAAATTAGTACAAACAAAAAACATATGAAGTATTACGATCCTGAAGCAAAATACCTTAAAGAGAACTTTTTGAAAGCTCTGCAAAAGTTTGAGTTAACAAACAGAAATGAAGACAAAGTAGAAATGATTAATAGAAAAAGGATATACGACATGAAACTAAGAAACCTAAAAGTGTCCTCAACAGCTAGCTTCATAGAACAAGCTGACAACAAACCAAAAGCACTATGGCAAGTTATAAACAAGGAAAGGAAAGGAAAATGTGAAGAGAAACCCCTTACAGAATTAGAAATAAATGGCAAACTCACAAACGACACAAAAGAAATGGCCGAACCCTTCAACACATTCTTCTCAAATATAGCAGAAAATACCCTTGACCAAAACAGAGCAATCGTTATAGACCCTGAAGCAGTGCTGAATGGAGAGGAACCAGTCTGCCCAATACACCTTACCCTAACTTCAACATCCTATAAAGAAGTTAAAACGATAATAAACTCCCTAAAAGCCAAAACATCAAGTGGAATAGATGAGTTTTCCTCTAAGATGATAAAGCACTGCTCTCAAGAACTCATCTCTCCTCTGGTTTATCTTATAAATAAATCATTTAAAGAAGGCAAATTCCCATCCGCCATAAAAGTCAGTAAAATATACCCCAAACATAAAAAAGGACCAACTGAAAATGCTCAAAACTACAGGCCCAACTCTCTCATCTCCAGTTTCTCTAAAATCATAGAAAAAATTGCTCTGGCTAGATTAATCGCACATCTTAATCATAACAAACTCTTAACTGACAACCAACATGGCTTTCGGAAGAATAAATCTACATCCTCAGCTATAACAGCACTAATTGAGTACGTCCTAGACCAGATAGAAAACGAACAATACATTTCCGCCATCTTCCTTGATTACAGTAAGGCTTTTGACTGCCTGGGCCACGACCTGATATGCAAGAAACTCGAAAGACTCGGTATAAGAAACTCTGCGCTAGAATGGTTCAAAAGCTACCTAACGGGGCGTTCACAAGTCGTGGAACTGACAAACTCATCAAATGAAGTCACAGAAAGTGTCAAATCTTCAAAAAGCAAGCTGACGAGAGGAGTTCCACAAGGCTCTGTATTAGGCCGGATTCTATTCATCTTATTGACTGATGACTTCCCCAAACAAATTGGGAGTGAAAATGCTGTTGCAATCATGTATGCAGATGACACAACCATTTTGATCAAGGACAACACAGCCCAAAGCCTTTACCTTAATTCAAAATCGATCTTAAATAAAGCTATCCTCTACTCAAAGAACAATGACTTAGCAATAAACCCCACAAAAACTACAACTCTGAATTTCAGTAAGAAAAAAGACATAGTCCCTCAATTAGATGATGTAACAATAGAAAACCACTCAAAATTTCTCGGTGTTATCCTTGATAACAAACTAACATGGAAAGAGCACATCAACCACCTAAGCAAAAAAATCAGTACTGGAATATATGTCGTCAGAAGAATAAACTACATAGGCGGACTCTCTGTGGCCAAAACAGCTTACTTCGCACTGGTAGAGTCGCATCTTAGATATGGCTTGACAGTGTGGGGAGGAACTTCAACAAAAAATATGAATCGAATTCTTGTCCTTCAAAAGAAAGCCATAAGAGCCCTCGCCAACCTTGTCCCACCACAGACTTGCAGACTAGCATTCCCAAACCTAGGAATCCTCACAGTGGTGTCTCTCTACATACTTGAAACCATAAAGTATGTGAATGAAATAAACCCCCCAAGAAACCAAGACCTGCACCACTACAACACCCGTCATGGCTCCAAATTTGCACTACCAGTTCACCGAACAACTCTTTGGGAGAAAAAACCTTCCTACACCGGCTGCAAGCTGAGGAACCATCTACCTGACTACCTGAGAGACCTGACTGGCAACAAGCTACACCAGGAGTTGAAGACCCTTCTACTCAATAAAGGAATTTTATGAAAATTATGGAAATTAACATGTACAATTCACTGTTGTATTGACACTATTGTAGGTAATTCTAAACGAATGAACAATAAAGAATATTGAATTGTATTGTATTGTATTGCAAAACATATTTTGTGAAATTGAGATTTTTTAGAACAACGATGCAAATGACTGCATGAGGTATTTTTTTTTAATACACAGTTTGGCAGCACTTACAAGCAATTAAATTCGTGGGAAACTGGCTTTGTTGACATTGGCGGCCAGTACGTTTTCGTGTTTTGTTTGTTTGTTTGTTTTATAATCCCTTCTGTCACTTGCAATGGTGTTTTGCGGAGCTATTCAATTCAGTTTTGGTTGCATTGTTGGTGAAATGCTCATCATTCAGTAATATCACAAACCAATTGGTTATTGCAAGTAAGAAATTCAGTATTATCCATTTACATTATATATTTCTCTATTACAGTATTGAGTCTGAAATAATTGAAAGCTAAACAACAGATAGCTCTAGATAAGAGATACACGTACACAATATGAATATAGCTAAATATACTGATATGGCTTTCATGATTATAGCAGAGTGTAAGCACCTTGGGAGTGAAGATATCATCATTTTCATCAGAACTGCCATCATCCATTCCCTTGATCTCACAATAGTCTTCTGACCGAATAAACAGGAGAAGAAATATGTCTTCTAAAAGTTCTAACCTGAAAAATATAGTTTTGGTAGTTATTTAGTTTATGTTTTTAGATTACATTAGTTGTATAAGAGGCAACTATTATCTGTTATCAAGGATAATCACAAGCCTTTAAAAATTAACTTCTTTCTCATTAACATGTTGAGTGCTAATAAATATGAGTACAGTATTGCGACACTGAAATGTGAAAAATTATAATGTGATTATTTACTCAAAAATGATGTCAGAGTATCCAAAATCATGAATCTAGATGTCTCAGTGTTGGTTTTGGCTGAAAATGTAACTTCACTTCTGGGGCGGGAATTCCCGTCCTTAGGTACTAATGCCGGCCCTTGTCCAACCCCTAACTACAGGGTGTTTCAAAAGAATCATCCGATTTTGTAGGTTTATAATTTGAAAACTAATAATCATATAGACATGAGGTTGATTTTATATTAAAGAGTAACTAATAATGTTTTGTAACATACCATTTACAGGTGTTCAATATGGCTCCTTTTAGATGCACAGCATATGTGCAACTTGCAATACAAATTTACTTATGTAGAAAAAAGCTGTGAAAACAATATAAAATTTGAAAATAAATGTAAATTGATTCCGGGTCCAGTTCTTACCGTCTACCGTAATAGCTTTTTCCCTATAGGGAAATTTGCATAAATGCCTCTCTTGTTGCTACTATAATCCGAACAGCAAGGTAACATCTTACTTCTTGTAAAGAGAAAGTAAGAAATGGTCGTAAGCTCCATCAACCAACAAGGAGATCATGTGGAAAAATTACCTTAAATTTACAAAAATAAAATATTCAAACCAAATATTTTTTATCTAAAACCAAATATTTAAAAAAGTAATTCTTACAAAGATGCATTTTGTTTTTGTTTCTTGTGCTCTGTAAGATATTGTCATGCTCATTGTAAAAATGAAACTTACCTAAAATTAAGAGGTTCAATTTGATTTATCTTGTCACCAATGTTCACAATAGTGTTAGAGATGTCTTCTTTATATTTCAGGTTGATAAACTGGCTTTTATTTTTGTCTTTTTCCGCTGTAAAATAAAAAAGTACCAATTTAAAACCAAACGATAGTAAGGGATTTTAGTTTTGCTACAAGACTCTATTAAGTGGATCATTCGAATCTAAATACTATACATCATATTTATATTCATATATATTGTTAATTCTGACTTGAATAAACTATTTCATTCATGTTGTATGTACAGTAGACCCCCTCTTAACCGACCCTAATGGGACCGGACCTACGTCGGATAACTCAAAAGGTCGGTTAAAACGGGCAATCCCTAAAATCATAACATAATGAAATGCCATTCATTTGGAATTATATAATCAATATTTTGAAGTCATACTTGCATTATTTATAAAATAAACTACTCTCATCTCCTTTTTCGTATTGATAGAAAAGTCTTAAACACAAAACATGGTTAAGTCTAATAGGCCTACTTTCAGTGGAATCTATATTTATAAAAGAGGAAGTTTGTATATATATATATGTATATATATTTGAACGTTATGGACTTCGAAACCGCTCGACAGTTTGTAATGAAACTTTCAGGCATTATTAAGGATTATTCAAGGATGGTTTGTGTGAAGTTTGGTGGAGATCCGTCAAAAGGGCTCCGCCACAGTGGCTCTGGAGTTTCCCATGTTAACCTTATGAGTACTTATATTTAAATGGAATGAAAGAATCTTAACGGCTGGTTCAACTAAAAAATTTAATTCTGCGATGTTCAATAGCATTAAAGTTACAAGGTTTACCAACAGGGTGCAGCACTAATTTTTTTAAATTTATGACAACAGCTAATTTGCAACCAAAAGGTGAGTGAGCGTATCGAACGAACTTCAAACTGGAGGCGAGTTAGTGTAGCGAACGAGCTAAACTTGAAGGCAAGTGAGCGCAGCGAACGAGCTCCAACCTAAAGGTGAGTAAGCGTAGCAAACGAACTTCAATCAGGACGTGATTGAGCCATGCGAACGAGCTCATCTTGAAAATTAAGAAGTTAAACGGGGCAAAGCCCGCGGGTACAGCTAGTATATTATAATACTAGGCAACAGTCAATAAAATTCCTATTTTAATAACTTTAGTACTGTAATGTACTAATTGATGTTTCCAAACCTATCGTAATACAGTACAGAACCTTTTGTCAAAATTAAAGATACAAGCAAGCAATTTTGTTACAAGGGACAGGATGTTTATTTATAACCTCTCACTGTAAGCTCGAGCGAGGCACAAAAACTATGACTAAAACTAACTTGACCTTGGAGTTGTTAACCCCCCTTCCCTGCCCTCCCTACAAGTTGCGTTGTTTGTTCACTCCAGCAATAAGATAATCAGTTCTCAAAATCGTAACGCACTTTATGATGTTATAAATTTGCCGCACAGATAACATATCAGATCAGATTTGCTCGAGCTACGATAACGAACGATGATGACAAACTGACAATAGGCTATGCTATATTTTTTGTGATCAATACAAAATAACTTATTCTTAGTCATATCCTGTGGAGATAAGCGTATGGTTCAGTTCTCATCGCCCAGCGTGGGAGCGGAAATACCAAGATTCCTAGAAAGCGGCAGCGGTTAAACCGAACTGCTCTCAAAGCAAGGTCGGTTAAAACAAACTGTATTATTTCACGATCGAAGGTGGATAATCCGATTATCGGTTAATATGAGGTCGGTTAAGAGGGGGTCTACTGTAATATTCTTGTTAAAATTTTAAATGAACAGTTCAGGGAGGCTTATTACAATAAAATTAACAATCGGTTCCGTGCAAGCAAACTTAAAGATACATGACAGAAAATAATATTGAATTTTTAACAATATTTTCAAACAAATCGGGTGTAGAAAAATAAACTGGTTTATATGAGTTACTTCTAAAAATTCTACAGAATTTTATACAACCACCAATTTGATCGAGCTAGTTTGCCCTCACTCACACTACAAACAACGCTTAGCGAGCAACCCTGCAAACATATCTTATCAAACCATTTCAACAATAAATCTGAAGATCCAGATCCAAATTTTTCAAGATCTGCATCCGGATCCGGTACCGACTGACATTTTCTTGGATCCGCCCATCACTAATATTTACATATTAGTAATGGTCGGATCCAGATATCGGTCTACCGGATCCGCCGGATCTGAGCTAGAACCGACGCCCGATCGGATCTTGGGCTGGATCCGGTTTTAATAGATCCGAGTTCTTTTTTAATTTAAAATTTAAAATAATTTAATTTAAAAAAAGTGTTTAAAATTTTTTTTCTTATTTAAAATTGTTTTAATTCTATTAACACAAAACAACCTTTATAAAATACAATTCATTCATAAGAACAGGTGTTTTGTCATAGTGATGAATTTAAAAATAAATTAATAGTGACTATCTGTGTCCATATATAAGACAATCTGACATTACCTACCCATATGAGTTATTGACGTTGACATATACTGTCACATTACCTAGCCATATGAATTTTTGACATCAACAAATACTGTGAAATTGCCTGTAGCCATATGAGTTAATTAAAAAACCTGCCCTTGGAAAAAAAAGAAAAAAAACTTGTATGGATCCAGATCCGGATCCGCTACCGACATTTTCTTGGATTCGCCCATCACTAATACATACATAGCCTACTTCCTCTTTTATCTAATAAATAAAATTCTCGTGTCACAGTGTTTGTCTGCAAACTCCTCCGGAACGTCTTCACCGATCGTTATGAAATTTGGTGTGTAAATTCTGTAGGTATGCGAATCGGACGTAAACTATTTCCCGTTTCGAAATTCTTAAAAGGGCTCCGCCCCAGTGGCTCTGGAGTTTCCCATGTTAACCTTATGAGAAATGGAATTAATGAATCTTAACAGCTGTTTCAATTAAACAAGTTGGTTCTGTTCTATGATGTTCAATAGCATTAAAGTTACAAGGATTACCAACAGGGTGCAGCACTATTATTTCTTTTACATTTATGACAACAGCTAATTTGCAACCAAAAGGTGAGTGAGCGTAGCGAACGAACTTCAACCTGGAGGCGAGTTAGCGTAGCGAACGAGCTAACCTGAAGGCAAGTGAGCGCAGCAAACGAGCTCCAACCTAAAGGTGAGTGGCGTAGCGAACGAGCTCCAACCCAAAGGTGAGTGAGCGTAGCGAACGAACTTCAACCAGGACGTGATTGAGCGATGCGAACGAGATCATCTTGAAAATTAAACGTAACGGTACTTTCTTTCCATCGGTCTGTCTTAGGGGAAACCTATAACTTAGGCGATACGAAGTTCGCCGGGTCAGCTAGTACATATATAAAAAATTCAAACGAATGGTGTTTTTAGCCTCCGGGGACATCAAAATGAATAAGTAAATCGGTCCAGGGCCTAGGTCTTACCGTGCCACCTACGGTAATAGCTACTTCCCTATAGGGAAATTCACTAAAATAGATACATTTTTATGATCCTACTTAAGTTTAAGTGCTACTCGCACAGTATTTTTCACCACTCTAGTCATTGAAACCCGTTGTTCGACTTTTACTCTCACTAAAGACAGCAGATAAAAATGATACAAACAAAATCATATTAGTTTCAAAATGGCTTGTGACAACGATATTTCGCTTTTTCGATACTACAATACTTCTAAAGAAATTGAAATTTTGTCTGTTTTTGTTTTTTTTTTGTTAGCAAATTTCCCATATAGGGAATAAGCTATTACCGTAGTACTCATGGTAAGACCTGGACGCGGGACCGATTTTTTGTTTTGTTTTGAGGTCCCTAGAGGCCAAAAACACCATCCGTTCAAATTCATATATATATATATATATATATATATATTTATATATTTATATATATATATATATGTGTCCGTCAGCACGATAACTCGAGCAAAAATGATCCGATTTTGATGAAATTTGGTACAAACATGTAAAAGTACGTTTATTTGAACGAGTACGCGATCCAGCATGATCGGACCATGGGAACGGGGGTTTACGGGGGGTTTTATGGGGTAAAAATAGGTTTTTCCCATTTTTGACCCAAAAAACATAAAATTTAGCAATTTCTTTCCAAACCATTTTGTAGAGCTTAAAAAAACAAATAATTTAGTATATTGAAGCGTTATTATGCGCCTAATGGTTGCGGAGAAAATTCCAAAAATTTTTAAATTTAAAATTCCCATGTTATTCTTATGGAGAATAAGTAAACTGTTGTAGTTTGCTTGTTTGTGAACATATTTTGATCAAATTTGGAAAATGTTTTTATTTCTTACTAACTATTCACATTTTACAAAAAAAAACAGTTTTACCCTCCCTGATGCAGCAAACCTAAGTACTTGTTTAACTAATTCTATTTAAATCAAGAATAAATGTTATATTTTTAAGTAGACATTTCAGTGTAAATCCAATCAGTCAAATGGAAATTCGCTTAGTCTGCAGGTTTGCTGCGGCGGGGGTATTTTTTTTTTCATTAGGATTTAGCATACGGTAATAATTGTATACCAATTAGAACCCTCAGATGTAATTAGTGTACTTGAAATGCCTCATTACTTCAGGGATTAAGTTTTGGTGGTAGAAGGCTAAGTAAAATAATAAGTACTTGATTGGAATTATTTTCCCCTATATCTTCAGTACTTCAGTATAATCTTAATCTTTGCTCAATAGTTACAGCTGATTTTTTTCCCCTTTTTATTGTATTTTTTAATTTGCTAGTATACTGTGGATGGATTGTTATTAACACATATGAGTAGTGACAATTCTTTTTTTAATGTTTCCTTGTTATTTTGTTCAAACAACATAGTTACTTAGCAACCCATAAGGCCAATGTTAATTTTTTTAATTTTCAAATGAGTTGTGTAGCAAAATACAAATTTTACTGGGGTAGTGGCTGTCACCAATCACAATTTACGGCTATAAGTCCCTAATTTCAAATATTAGTCAAAATCCTTCCGCTGTATTACGACATATATATTACAGACAGAAAGACAAACACATAGCTCGCGTATTAGAGAATAGGATTTGAACAGAATTCCAAGAAATGTTATTAAAAGAAACCACGGTTAACATACCTTCATTGAAGTAATCTACAGCTTTTGTGATTGTTTGGATCATATCAAATATCAGAGTAAATCCTTCAAAGACTCTGACATTCCAGCTTTCCTTCCCTGAAACATAAAATCAATCCATTATTTTTGTAACAACATAAATGAAAAAAATAAATGAAATGAAAAACAGTGTAAAATAAGATTCAATTCCAATAAATGTACCTATCAAAAACTTTTAACTTGCTAATTACATAAAAAAAAATTTCAAACAATAAATCAAAAATAAAAAACTCAAAGCTTTTACTTACTTTTAAATGATAAAATCAAACATAGACAAACAATAATTTACAACTGGTTTTTATTACGGTTATCTGGTTTTTATTACGGTTTAAATGAAAAGTAACATGTGATCTTGCTTCTAAAAAGCATTGCTCACTTAGCATTGATTATAAAAATATCTCATTATATACTATGTGAACAAACAAAAACATTAACACTCTTACTACTAAAACAAACAGAAATATACTTAGCCCTACTATTTATAGCTCCTACTATTCATGCACCAAAGGCAAGTGCATATACAACTTAGTTTTTTATTGTTGTTTTTAAATTGAAATATTTGTATATCAGCTTAGAATTAGGACATTTAACGTCATTCAAACAATGTTTATGTCGAGGGTAGGGTTAGTTAAGAGGAACTTGTTTGAAAATATACATGTAATGACCCTGAGACGCTCGTAAAAAGTTATTCATTATTAGAATAGAATGTGAAATCTACAGGAAGTGTCAAAAGTTTTAATATAGATAGGTAGTTATTTTTTTTTTTTTTAGGGAGAGGAGGGGGGAAAATGCTTTTACGCACACCGTTAGCCAGCCTGTAGTGTGAGACTCCTGAATCTATCACAGACTACTCACTAAAAAACCCCCTTGACTCTGTTGGACACAGACCTGGAATTGTTTGTCACATTACTTCAAGTCAGGCCAACGTGTGACCTAAGCCCTCAGGGCTCTCACCGTTTTTGGTATTGAGATACTTTATGACCTACACCGCATCCCAGTCAAGGTCGAGCTTCTTGGCACGGAGAATACCCTGGATGTAATGTGACACACAGGTCCAATTGTCCTCACCCTCCGTCATCATTGGTATGACCGTGTCCACTGACATCAGTCCTACTAACTGTTGAGCCTCCAGGCGGGGCCTTTCCCAACACTGGCAGTGGAAAAAGGTATGTTCCACGTCATCGGGAATGTCTGGGCAGTATATGCAATTGGGTGTCACGGCTTTGCCCATCCTGAACAGGTACGGCCGGAAAAAGCCGTGACCCGTCAGAAATTGGGTGAGGTAGAAGTCCACCTCTCCGCACCGCCGATTAACCCAAGGTTGGACTTGCTGTATCAGTCGCCTGGTCCAGCGTCCCCAAGTCTCCTGTTCCCAGCTCTCCTGCCACAGCTGGTAGGTGCGGGTGCGTTCCTCTGTTCGTGCCTGGTCCTCCCCTCGGCGCTGATAAATTGCTTTTCTCTCCGCCGCCAAAAGTTTGACGGGGATGACTCCAGCAACCACCAGGACGGCGGGTTCGGACACTGTTCGGTAGGCGGATGCAACTCTTAGTGCTGCCTGACGCTGCACTCGGGCGAGTCGCATCCTGTATACCTCCTTATAGATGAGTGAACGAAGTGAACGAATCTATGTATCGTGTATAGCGGAGTCGGAGAAAAGTTGTCCGCTTGTCTGTCTGTCTATCTGTGTGTGTGTTCGCACCAAAAACTCAAGAACCGTCGCACTTATAGCGTTCAAATTTTGCACAAATAATTATGACACCAGTGGGAAGACCTCATTAAAATTCTAGACGATTCCACTCAGTAGTAATTATAAAACCCTTAAAAAACATTTTTGAATTTGTCCCATAAGAATAACATTAGGAGCTACCTTCTTCTTCTTTTTATTTGTTTACGTTTTGCGACCAATAATTTTGTTGTCTACTTAAGACAGAGAGAACGACTTTTACTCTAAGCTATTTCATTCATGGAGTAAACAGTTTGGCGTCTATGAATATATATCATTATAATTTCACAGGTTTCAGAATAATGTTGTTTAAATTAAATTAAATTTCACAACTTTCTGAATAATAAACTGAACTTTACAATATTAATCGGCAGTTATATACCGTTTATGTTCAGTATTAATATTCACCTTTAAATTAAAAATATATATGTATATATTTAGAACAAAGCAGCTTTCACATTATTCCATTTAATGTTCGCATTGAAAATTAAATATTCAAAGATGTTAGTAATAATACTAAAATGCTATGCGAAGGGGGGGAACAGGTCCACGACGTAGAGAGTGGTAAAGGAAGCGAAAAGGTGAGCAGTGCGGAGTGTGGAAATCCTTTGTGACTGTTAAATTAATATATCTGTAATACTTAAATGCTATGGAAAGAGAGGGAAACAGGTCTACGATGTAGGAAGTAGTGAAGGGAGTCGAGGCGACCATTCTGGAGCGTGGGAACCCTTTGTGACAGAATAATGTTTCTGCAATTCTAAAAATGCTATGGAAAGGGCGAGAAACATGCCCACGTAGGAAGTGGTGAAGGAAGTAGTAGTAGATTAATGTATATGCAATAATAAAATGCTAAAGGAAGGGAGGGAAACAGGTCCACGACGTACGAAGTGGTAAAGGAAGTAGTCAAGGCGAGCAGTCCGGAGTGCGGGGACCCATTGTGACAGTTAGGTTAATGGATCTGAAATAAAAAAATGCTAAATGAAGGGAGGGAAACAGGTCCACGACGTAGGAAGTGGTAAAGGAAGTAGTCAAGGCGAGCAGTCCGGAGTGCGGGGACCCATTTTGACAGTTAGGTTAATGTACCTGCAATACTAAAATGCCATAGGAAGGGAGGGAAACATGTTCACGACAAAGGAAGTGGTGATGGAAGTAGTCAAGGCGAGCAGTCCGGAGTGTGGGAACCCTTTGTGACAGTTAGATTAATGGATCTGCAATAATAAAATGCTAAAGGAAGGAGGGGGGGAACAGGTCCACGACGTAGGAAGTGGTAAAGGAAGTAGTCAAGTTAGCAGTCCGGAGTGTGGGAACCCGTTGTTACAGTTAGATTAATGGATCTGTAATACAAAAATGCTAAAGGAAGGGAGGGAAACAAGTCCACGACGTAGAAAGTGGTGAAGGAAGTAGTTAAGGCGAACAGTTCGGAGTGTGGGGACCCTTTGTGACAGTTAGATTAATGTACCTGCAATAATATAATGCTAAAGGAAGGGAGAGAAACAGGTCTATGACGTAGGAAGTGGTGAAGGAAGTAGTCAAGGCGAGCAGTCCGGAGTGTGGGAACCGTTTGTGACAATTAGATTAATGTATCTGCAATAATAAAATGCTAAAGGATGGGAGGGAACAGGTTCACGACGTAGGAATCGGTGAATAAAGTAGTCAAGGCGAGCAGTCCGGAGTGTGGGATTCCGTTGTGACAGTTAGGTTAATGGATCTGCAATAAAAAAATGCTAAAGGAAGGGAGGGAAACAGGCCCACGACGTAGGAAGTGGTGAAGGAAGTAGTCAAGGCGAGCAGTCCGGAGTGTGGGGGCCCTTTGTGACAGTTAGTTAAATGTACCTGCAATACTAAAATGCCATAGGAAGGGAGGAAAACATGTCCACGACGTAGGAATTGGCGATGGAAGTAGTCAAGGCGAGCAGTCGGAGTGTGGGGACCCTTTGTGACAGTTAGGTTAATGGATCTGCAATAAAAAAATGCTAAAGGAAGGGAGGGAAACAGGCCCACGACGTAGGAAGTGGTGAAGGAAGTAGTCAAGGCGAGCAGTCCGGAGTGTGGGGGCCCTTTGTGACAGTTAGTTAAATGTACCTGCAATACTAAAATGCCATAGGAAGGGAGGAAAACATGTCCACGACGTAGGAATTGGCGATGGAAGTAGTCAAGGCGAGCAGTCCGGAGTGTGGGGGCCCTTTGTGACAGTTAGTTAAATGTACCTGCAATACTAAAATTCTATGGGAAGGGAGGGAAACATGTCCACGACGTAGGAAGTGGTGATGGAAGTAGTTGAGGCGAGCAGTCCGAAGTGTGGGGACCCTTCATTAGTTAGATAAAGATATATTGGATTTTTAATCATTTTTAGATGATATATTTACGATATCGTTATTTTAAATCATCATTGTAATCCATACGAATTTTTTTAGGAGATTCATTACATCGTGCTTTGGCAATTAGGTTAAGTTAGATTAGTTCAGTTTGGCTTAGTTTTGTTTATGATTTGCCTCATAACAAATATGGAAATAGGCTTAATTTAATCAAAAGACACGTTGTACAGGAATGATGGATTTACCCATTTACCTCCTATCGATAACTGTTGGAAATCCATTACGTATATTACCAATGACTTTGGTTAATTAATAGATGAGAAGTTAAGATTGTTGTTGACTAAGATTTGGTTGATTTGCCCATACAAATAACATTGTGTTCGCCAGTGACACCGGTAAGTAGGCTAGGTGTGGGTGGACTCTTTCATTACTGCGCTCATGTTCACTCATCCCGTTACGCGCAGAATAAGCGTACTACTAGTTTAGAGCGACTGCCCACACCTCAGCACCGTACAAGAGTACGGACTGGACAGAAGACATTAACAGCCTTCTACGGCTGGACCGAGGGCCTCCGACATTGGCCATCAACCGGCTCAGAGAGGAGACCACCCTAGCGGCCTTGTCCGCCGTACGGAAAATCTTATCCCGCGAGCTAAGCTTGCTGTCCACCATAATCCCAAGGTACTTGGCAGAACGAACGGTCTGGACTTCGACGGCCTCTACCCTCAACGGCACGATGGTGTCAATCCGTTTTTTTGTTAATATCACGATCTCAGTTTTGCTCAAAGCAAGCGAGAGACCGTGGTCTGTCATCCATGCGTTTACAGTACACATAACTCGGTTCAGCTTTAGCTGAGCCAGCTCAACACTACGTGCAGCTATCAAAACTGCAACGTCATCCGCGTACCCAACCAAAACAGTTTCCTCAGGCATTTCAGACCTCAGGAGGCTGTCGTACGCGACATTCCAGAGGTCTGGGCTGAGTATGGAACCTTGGGTAGCACTGGAAGTGACACTCATCG